CATAATGTGTGATAATAGAAACAGCGTGTAAAGAAGAATAATCATCAAACGAGACAGTGTGCCTGTTTCTCATTGGTTACATTTATTCTAATGCAAAATTTAGGAATTGAAATGTCTTTAAGGTACTGAAATAATATTTCCCTCATAGAAATATCGGAATATCATTTTAAGTTGTAAAGGTTTTATGTTTGATACGTCACTTTTTGTGACGTTGATCTATTCATGTGACGCACAGTTTATATTTCGTTTGTGGTGGCCTGGTGTGCTGTCGTAAATTCATGGGAGGTGTCTGTTGTTATTCTGCGGTTTACATGTTGTAATGTACTATTATATTATTTATTTATTCTCTGTGCTGAGTGTTCTTGCGTTTGTTTGTACTGTATTCCTGTCACGCAGTGTTGTCATTTTAGCGGTATTTTGAACCGACTGCCATATAAGCGGGAGGTTTGGCTAGCCATAAAACCAGGTTCAACCCACCATTTTTCTAAAAATGTCCTGTAGTCAGGAGTATGACATTTGTTATCAGACAGTCCGTTTCTATGTATGTTGGCGTTTGCTCTTGTTGTAGTTCAGTGTTTCTGTTGTTCCGATGTTTTCCTCTTATAGTTGATGTGTTTTTTTCGGTTTTAGTTTGTTACCAGGATTTGTTTTCCTGTAGTCAGGAGTATGACATTTGTTATCAGACAGTCCGTTTCTATGTATGTTGGCGTTTGCTCTTGTTGTAGTTCAGTGTTTCTGTTGTTCCGATGTTTTCCTCTTATAGTTGATGTGTTTTTTTCGGTTTTAGATTGTTACCAGGATTTGTTTTTACTTAATCGAATTTTGACTATTGAACAGCGGTATACTACTGTTGCCTTTATTTATATTTACAACTGGTGCAATATTCTCACGGCGATCTGATGTAATGCCAGTGTTCGAAGTTATCATCCTCTGAAGAAATAGATAAAATTTTGTCTAATTACTAAAAATAATAAAATTGACAATGGAAATGGGGAATATGTCAAAGAGACAACAACCCGACCAAAGAGCAGACAACAGCCGAAGGCCACCAATGGGTCTTCAATGCAGCGAGAAAATCCCGCACCAGGAGGTGGTCCTCAGCTGGCCCCTAACTAAAATTGTGTGCTAGTTCAGTGAAAATGGACGTCATACTAAACTCCAAAACATATAAATGAACTAAAATTAAAAAACATACTAGACTAACAAAGGACAGAGGCTCCTGACTTGGGACAGGCGCAAAAATGCGGCGGGGTTAAACATGTTTTGTGAGATCTCAATCCTCCCCCCTATACCTCTAGCCAATGTAGAATAAAGAAACACATAGCAATACGCACAGTAAAACTCAGTTTAAAAGAAGTCCGAGTCCGATGTCAGAATAGGTAACAAAAGAAACTAAGCAAAATGACAATGATACATAAATGAACAAAGGACTACTAGCAGTTACTGACATGTCAGCTCCAGACCTCAATTAAACTGATTGAAAGATTATGTCTTCATCATATGAAAATCAAGTACAATCCCTCCCGTTAGGGGATTAGTATCATACCATCATAAAATATATGAGAAGAACATAACTCGTATCATGCCAACAACTGGTTTTAGAATAAATTTGTTTATTTCCGATGCAAAGACCCTATGAGTGAATCAATGTTAATACTAAAATATGCAATCCTTAATGACTTGACAACAGTATCGTAACTATATCCTTTCCGAATAAGTCTGTTTAAAAGTTTGGTTAGCTTTTGAGGTGAATGCCGACATTTTTGTGCTTTGTAAAGAATATTACCACAAAATATTGGATGTGAAATACCTGAACGTATAAGATGTCTGCATGTTGATTTATATTTACGAATGATGTCCTTGTACCGATGATAAAATTTAGTAAATGTAAGGCTATTTTACCAATCCCTTCAGGTATATGTGGGAAACAGATTGGGTTTTTTTTTTTTGTTATTCATTTTTTTGAGTACTAATGTGCATTCTAAAAATACTGCCCCGAGTGTACTTAAAGAAGGTTTTAGCAGGGAAACATAAAGACATCTAGCTGTTCTGTTGTTATTGAGTTGTCTTGTTGTGGCCAACTGGCGTACATCGGCCTCTTCTTTTATTCAAACAAACATATCGCTTATTCGGACCAACACAAATATCTGTCTTTTTATTCTTCTTTTGATTTTTATCATTTTGACATGTTCGTTTGTGTACATTATATTTTTGTTAAGGTTTTTTCGATAAGGGGGAGGGTTGAACGCTCACAAACATATTAACCCCGCCACATTCTTTGTGTGCCTATCCCAAGTCAGGAGCCTATAGGTCAGTGGTTGTCGTTGGTTCATGTCTGTCATATTTGTTTTTCGTAAATTGTTTTGTTATAAATCATTTTAGTTTTCTCATCATATTTTTCATGTCGGGACCTTTTATGGCTGACTATACGGTATGGATTTTTCTCACTGTTGAAAGCTGTACGGTTGCCTATTATTGCTTTCATCCACTTTATTTGAACTTTGGTGGATAGTTGTCTCATTGGCAATCATACCACATCTCCTTATTTTTATATTTATTTTGTTTTGATTATGAACCATTTTCATTACTATTTTGGTTTTGTAACAGATGTAACCAATTAGGAAAGAGGCATATAGTCTCGCTTTTATTTGTATTGTTTTTAAAAGCTGTCTTTATTGATGGTCTGGGAAAACGAGGTCTGATTATTAGTTGACTTTACACAAGCTCTCAGTAATTGCAAGAACACTTAGATCAGAGTACTTTGTGTTCTGTCATTCTGTCATTTGCGAGTTTTCCAGTTGGTTCTAATGTTGTGATAAACCACAGGTATGGGTTAAGAGGGAGAGTTAAGTTCTCACATATATCTTTAAACTAGTTTTTTTTATAAGAACTAGTTGTCCTTTGGATGTCATTGATTATTTTTTTCGCTTAACGTTGTTATCCGTCCGTTGGTTTTCTCTTTCTGTACTACTAAAGTATTACAAATTTTGTTCTACATTGTGTTATCCCGATGCCTTTTATATCGTATACTACCGTATGGGTTTAACTCATTCTATTCAGGCCATTTTAAATAATCTTTCTAATAAGAGATAAAGCAAACCCGAGTTACAACGAGATATGCTTCAAATTGTCCATTGTTTTTTTTACAATTGAAAACTCATTAGTCTGGAATGATAAAATTCTAAAAAGTCAACGAAAAGACTGTCCTTATAGAACCAAAAATTGTGTATTTATTATACCCATTAAAGCCAATTTAAGTTTTCTGGAAAATAGTTATTTTTTTACCTACTTCTTTAATGGTGGCATACAAACATAGAATTTGTTATCAGTATTTGATATAAAAAAAATATTCGACGCATGATTTACTTGTAGGACTTTATCCAGGCCCAGTCTTTTTTACATCAAACTGTTAACAAAAGTATGCAAGTTGACGCCTTGTTTGATTTACCTGAAAAGGCTGCCTGACAAAAAACCTTGGTTTACCCCCAGTTTTAGGCGGGGTTGTGTTGCTCAACCATCTGTTTTCATTGTGGTGTATATTGTAGACTTCTGCTTGTCTTTTCCGCGTTATTTCTTTTTGGCCATGTGTATATCTGTTTTCTTCGAATTGTGTTTTTTATTTCCTTGAACCAATGCTTGGTATCATTTCCCTCTTAGTAGTTATTGCTATTGCTTCTTGTGTTTCTAATAAAAACGTAGATTCGCTAATATAAAGTTTTAAACATAATTATATTACATTTCTTCAATTGGTCTTTCTTGTATTTTCTTATTTCGGGCATTGAACAAGATCGTGTTTTTGGAATTCATGGCATGACAAGAGTTTGCCTTATTATTAAAGACCGTGAAGTAACGTACTTTGGTGGCCTTGGACTGTTGTCTGCTCTTTGTTCGGGTTGTTGTCTCTTTGACACATTCCCCGTTTCCATTCTCTATTCTATAAGCTGAATCAAGCAGATTAATTTTAAACTTTAAATAATGCTTCATCTCTTTAATTTTATCAGATTTTCAAAGAGTAGATAACTTCATTTCTAATAACTTACAAGGATAAAAGAATAAAACCATCTTTGAATGATAAAGACATTTTTTAATCAATCAATCCCATTAAGCATCATTTGTTACTTTTAACTACAACTTTTTTTTTAGTAAGGTTGAAGTTTGCTATACTTGTTATTCTTAAATTTTTGACACAGAGAACAATAGCTATTGTATTTATTCAATGGAACAACAGAACTGACAAAAGTTTAAATAGATTGACCAATAGGGGATGAATCTGTGGAAAAGTTTCATTTGGTTCGCAATAACTATTGGTATTATTTTATCGAAACTGTCGAGTTTCGAATGTTGTTATGCTGCTTCTGTGTCTTTCCGGATTTCACTTAATTTTTTCACCAATTTTTGACAATTTTACCTGTTATGTCTGTTTGTTTTGCTCACACATTGTTGTCAATATGATGGAATTTTATGCGACTGTCAAGTGAGAGGTTTCGCTAGCTATTAAACCAGGTTTAATCCACCATTTTCTACATAAGGGAATGCCTGATCCAACTCAGGAATATGACAGTTGTTTTCCATTCGTTTGGTGTGTTTGAGCTTTTGATTTTGCCATTTGTTAAGGGACTTTCCGTTTTGAATTTTCCTTGGAGTTCGGTATTTTTGTTATTTTACTTTTTTCATTTGTTCTTTGTTTTTTTTTATCGTAATACTCTGTCCCGCCTTATTTTATACATCACTTATATTTGGATCCTGCTACAAGTTATGCATCGCCTGGTATCAAAAGTTTTGAAGTAACAACAGATTTAAAAATTCAAGATGTTTAATGTTTTGACCCTGTATCATCTTTTGTTGGTGTTTCATTTAAGAACGTTTATTACATAGAGCAGATTTTGTATCTTTTTAAGAGTATTATATCTGAATTGTAAAATATTAAAATAAGAAGAAGTGGCATGATTGCAAAGAGACAACTCTCCGCTAAAGACCAAAATGACGTAGAAGCTAGTAAATACAAGCATATTTTCCTTTATTAATAGAACAGTAGGGAAACACATATGGTTCCGTTTTCCGTGCTTACGACAATTGTTTCTAAACTTATAATTCAACAATGTTGTACTCTCGAGACCGAAAGTTTGAAAAACTAAAAGCGTAAAACATTTGAGAGCATAAAAGCCAAAAGGACCTAAATAGAACAACCAAAAACCGTGTAAGGTAAACTCTTCTAAGATATATATATATGTATCATAGATGTTTTATTTTATGATGTTCGTTTGAATAAGAGATTGAGACTCTTTTTTTAGTTGATTCGACTAGGCTTGTAATGTAGACTTTTGGTTCTATTTTCAGCGCTCTTTGAAATGTTGTTTGAGTTTTGCTTATCGTTCAACGGCAAATATTACATGCATAATTACAGATATGTTTAAGTTGTTCATTGATTAAATTATCCTTGAAAAAATATTGTGAAAATAACTCGTTTATAGTACTTACAATGATAAAACACGGATGAAACATATTCACCACGACATTTTCAATTGATTCAAAGATACACATGAAATGAATGCAATACTTCACATAAAGATGGAGTCTTTGAAATGCTTAAATTCTAACAATAAATGAATATTAACAATATATCAATCATATGACACATGATGAAAAAAATAAGGTATAAATAACAGCATTAGGTAATCAACACAACAAGACATACTCTCATCAAAATAACAAAATACTTAATAAATTCACACTTTAAAATTTTCATTCATAATGGTATATAAATAATCATTTTACTTTCAGACTTGTCTTTTTCGGTAATGAATTAAACATTCATTTTTCGTATATTACAAAACATTCAAATTCACCAAGATATTAAGAAGCGTATGATTGCATCGACTAGTCGTTAGTATTTCTATTAAAAACATCCAAATATGTGTTTGTCTTGATCAAATTCTGCACTACATAATAATACTGTTTGTGTATTTAAACATTTTCGCTTTTACAGTATTCAAACTGGAAATAATGCGGAATTGATCCTTGGAAACATAACATGCGTCAAATATTTTTCACATTTTCAATCTAGCATTGTACTAAATAATATGATCATTGTCTAAAAACTGCATTTTTATGTTGTTGTATAGAGCGACTATTTGGCATTTCAACTTGACAAACATACAGCAAAAAACGAGAAAGTAACTCCTATGACATATGTTATGACATGATTATTTAATATTACATGTATCTTCAAAATAACACTTTCATTTCATCTCGAGATTCAACTTTTTCAGTTTGAGTTATCTTTCCGTAATAGGCACATTTCTATCTATGTAGAAACAATTAATTATGTTATTTTGATTTCATTCTGTTGATTGTATGATTGATTCGTCATTAAGCAACATTTAATTTTATAATCCAGCAGTTAATACCGACGATAAACTCAAAAGTAAGCAGAGAAATTGTAAATGGCTTCTAGAAGATCCGTTCCCACCAGCATACTGATACACGGGGTCTACAAAGGAAAATTGTCATATATAAAACAAGGGAAAACATTAAATTACCAGTTCAACAGGTAAAGCTACGGAAGCCGATAAGGGCCATTCAAAAAAAAAATGTCGTAATTACGACATAGTATGTCGTAATAACGATGCTATGTCGTAATAACGACATATTATGTGGAAATAACGACATCGCTATATCGTAATTACGACATATCATCTATATCATCTATAACAACAACCTTAACATTGCTACTTTGTGAGCATCGAAACACTATTTAAGAACTACAGGCCATATTGGATCAATCTTACAGAATGGATGATCCTTATATGATGAGGATTAAATATAAAAAAAGGAGATGTGGTATGATTGCCACAAGAAACCAAATGCCACAGAAATTAACAACTATAGGTCACCGTACATCCTTCAACAATGAGCAAAGCCCATGCCACATAGTCAGCTATAAAAGGCTCCGAAATAAGAAATGTAAAACAGTTCAAACGAGAAAACTAACGGCCTAATTTATGTACAAAAAATAAACGAAAAACAAATATGTAACAAGTCAACAAGCAACAACTACTGAATTACAGGCTCCTGACTTGGGACAGGCACATACATACAGAATGTGGCGGGGTTAAACATGTTAGCGGGAACCTAACCCTCCCCTAAGTTTGTAGGAATAGTTGTCCTGGGGAACATTGGTTTAAAGAACTTGGGGTCCAACGTTTAATACAGGCTTCAATGGGGAGGACGCTGTAAGAATCTCATAAAGAACCAACAGTAGCAATGCAGTTATAATTTGCATCAAGCATCAGTAGGCCATTGTGTACAAATGAAGGTGCAGAGGTCCATGGGTCTGAGGACTAGGAGTCCAAAGTTTAACAGTCTTTATTTGGAAAAGCTTAAAATTCATCTTCTTCAGAATCTGCAATGGAAATGCAGTCATATTTTACACGAATCTGTACATGCCAAACATAACTAGAGGCTCCAAGAAGCCCGAATCGCTCCCCTGAGCAACTGGGTCTCATTTGACTTGATTATAAAATAAAGTTCTAGTATGTACAAGTAAATAACTTTAATTAAGCTTGATTGCATTTAGTGTTCATTATTCTCCAAAAAAATATGAATATGTTTACGCTTCAAACTTTGCCCTCACTGACGACCATTTTGAATTTTCTATCGCCTCAAAATGTGACAACGCTAAGATTGTCGTAATTATGACATAGCGATCAGAAGCCTGTAATTCAGTGGTTGTCGTTTGTTGCTGTGTAACATATTTGGTTTTTTTTTGCATTTTTTGTACATTAATAAAGCCGTTAGTTTTCTCGTTTGAATTAAATTGTTTAACATTTGTCATTTCGGGGCCTTTTATAGCTGACTATGTGGGGGCTTTTCTCATTTTTGAAGGCATTATGATGACCTATAGTTGTTAATTTCTGTGTCATATAGTCTCTTATACGGAAGCCGATAAGGGTCATTCGAAAAAAATAATTTATGTCGTAATTACGACATAGCATGTCGTAATAACGACATAACTATGTCGTAATAACGACATAACTATGTCGTAATAACGACATAGCAATGTCGTTATAACGACATCCTTATGTGCATCATAATACATACTATTTTATATATATATATATATATATATAGCGATGTCGTTATAACGACATAGCGATGTCGTAATTACGACATAGTGATGTCGTTATTACGACATGCTATGTCGAAATTATGACATAGTTATGTTGTTATTACGACATGCTATGTCGTAATTACGACATATTTTTTTTTTTTTGAATGACCCTTATCGGCTTCCGTATAAAGCAGAAATCAGAGATACAAAAAAAAAAACAACTGAACTCCACATATAGATCAAGCAAAACTATATTTTTTAAATTTCTTTATAAAAAAATCGGTACGTTTCACTTCGGACGTATGCATCCAAAAAAAAATCCGATTTCTTATCTAATGTTACTCACTGTATTACAGTAAGTGTTTTTTTTTTCTCTTAACTTTTTATTCAATGACACAAAGGTCTTCTAATGGTACATATATCATGCTTATTTTTTTACAATTCGAGTAAAATAACTAGCAATATTAAGACACGTTACCTACTGTAAACCTATTAGTTGAAGTATGAATGGACTTGGTACAAACTTTTGTTAATAAATGTCCAATTACGAGCTTGGTACAGGCTCTATGGAAAATTACTGTCCCATTCTAGACTTGAAGTATCTGTATTGGAACATTACTGTCACATTCCAATCTTGGATTAGGCTTTGAAACTTGGTACAGGCTTGATGAAAAGTTACAGTCACACTCAAAACTTGATGCTGGCTATGCGTAAAATTACTGTCATATATTTAAATCGATACCAGCTCTACCGATCAAGAGTTGCTTAATACAGTTTTTACAGAAGAAGACTCAGAACACAAAATAAAATACAGCAGAAAAACATGAAAATTACTTTTATTTTACTTAATGTAGTATTTTGATTGACTAATACGAGGGATATAGTTTACTCTATCCCATGGCTCAGCGGGAGACAATTATTTGAATGTCACCCTCTCGTGCAGACCAATCAAAAATCGATAATTCAAAGGACAAAAATTTGAATCTACATCAATAATTTTAAAGACAATGCTCAAGTTCTACGTTTCGGCCTCAGAACTTTTTCATAGACTGTCAAAATAAAGAATACATCTTGCTTCCCTTTTGTTGTTTTACTAATAATCGTAACATTGTTATGTACTACATGACGTCATAGTTAAGTACTTTCAATTTAAAAGACAATAATCATAGAACATTCAGTATAATAAATTAAATAACACATAATTGAGAGGGTGATAGAGCAGATTGGTACCCCTCGAAAAAACATTATCAATCTTGGCTTCGCCTCGATTGACAATGTTTTCTAGGGGTAACAATCTGCTCTATAACCCTCTCAAATATGTGTTATCTATTAAATATTTTGTTTCATTATCAAATCCTACACTACCCAACAGGAACTTTACATTGTTTTTACATTTAACTTATTCATTCCTTACAAGTGATAATTCACCAGTTAAAACCGACAATAGAGTCAAATGTAAGAAAAACGCTATACCAGGCAACATACCAAAGAAAGTTTACATAATAATTGAATATCAAAACATGAAGAGCTGATAACACAGTTTTGATCAAAACATAAATAAAACTTTCAGAGAGGTGTCGGGGTATGATTAACCAAGAATAAGATAATTGTACAAATCTCAGCAGTAAATCTTCAAAAAAAACGTATATAGATATAAGAAGATGTGGTATGAGTGCCAATGAGACAACTCTCCATCCAAGTCACAATTTGTAAAAGTACACCATTAAAGGTCAAAGTACGGCCTTCAACACGGAGCCTTGGCTCACACCGAACAGCAAACTATAAAGGGCCCCAAAATGACTAATGTAAAACCATTCATACAGGAAAACCAACAGTCTAATCTATATAAAAAACGAGAAACACTTATGAACCACATCAACAAACGACAACCACTGAACATCAGGTTCCTGATATATGTACATTTGTAGCAAGTGACAGCAGAAGAAAAGATAAACAATACTATTTCAATTGAAAGTAAAGTAGGTGTACCTTTTGGAATGTCTTGCAGGTAGTCTGTGTTATCTTTTTTGTATGGGTATTTATTTCTACCATTATTTATAGAATGTTCTGGTACTGCAGGTAAAGATACGATCTCTTCTGTAAAATGAGCAAAAGGTGTCGTTGTTCGGGCTTTTTCTTCTGTTTACAAGAAAAAAAGAAAACGTAAATTATCAATTTATCAATTTATCAATATGTCTATTAATTTAAAAGAAAGATTTGAAGGACAGTTCTTTAATTTGCTTTCTTTTTAAATAGTATTATTCGTTAAAAGCTTGATTCCCTTTTTTCCTCTTTTCATCAAACTCTATATATGTGATGAAATGCAGTAAAAGTATGAGCAATTTGAGATATTTTAAATATCTATATTGTAATAGTTTTTCAGTCATGAAAATATTGAGTTCATTGAAATTCGGAATGTCATATCAGTTTTTGTTAGAACAACATACCATATAAAAACATGGTTTCACTGTCTCCTCCTAATTCATTTGATGCTTCACATGTATAATGACCAAAGTCTTTTTCTTCAAGGCTCATTATTCTTAAATTAAGTGTAAGAGTATGTGGGTCGTCTTCATAAATTTCTGTCCGTATATCCCAGCGTTGTTCAACAGGTGTCTTTCCTTTGTACCATATTCCAACTGCTTGCGGTGACGCAGAAATGATACATGATAAAATCGTTTCTTTCCCTACACGCTGACTTATCTTTTTATTTAAAAGATGCACCTCAGGTGGAACTACAGAAAAAAAATGTGAATTATGACAACATTTTTATTGAAATATAAATATTCAATTGCAAATTTTATAGATTGGTGTGATAAAATAAAAAGTAAAATAATGTTCATGATTTGCTTGAAACAGAAGTGTGATAAGATCAATTCGACTTGATTCTAGTTTTTGCGTCTATATTATCCTCTAAAAAAGGAAAATTGAAATTAGGTGTTCTTTTGTAAAAGATATATATATAGTTTTATTTATTACATACATATTTTGGATAGTTGGATAGCGGATGCTCCGAAGATGACACTTCATAATGTTAAATTGGTCATCGTCCGCGTATTCTGGACCAAGTTAACTTCTTAAAAACTATCATTGTCGTTCTAAATGAAAACATCATGGTCAGGTCTGTCATGCTGATTTTGTCATTGAGCAATACTATTAAATATTTTATACATACACTGCACATCAACATATATTTCTTTGGAAACATCGTTCCCGATGCCATTAGACGCTACACATTCATATGTTCCGTCACAGTTTCTTGATATATTGTGTATCACTAATATTTCTCCTGGGTTACCTAAGGCTGAAACAAACAATATCTTGGTTAATTAATACTGTTCTTCTCACGAAAGTTTTTTCCTTTTAAAGCTTGAAGGAAAAATACAATGAAACACTTTGTTTATAATTCCGATGCCGATTATCTTCTAGTGATAGATTTTTTTTTACTTAAAGTTTTACACATACAAATAACCGTAAACTGCAAGAATCTGGATCATAACATATCATTTATGTATTTACTTTATCTGTCTTTGAGTTTTATGTTCCGAATACGAATACAATAATTAATATACTTGTTTAAATATTTGATGAAACAACAAGTTGCAGATTTTTTCATATCATCTATTGTGTAAAATTTCATTTCCAATCTATGATACTTCTTTGGCCCTTTCAGCCTTCCATTCAAAAATACCTGCTTTCTCGCGAGACAATATTTTAGATTTAAAATAATAACTGTTACTAATTATAGATTTATATATTCGCTAGTCACTTCAGTCCTGTATATCTTCCGTTCGTTCTATATTTTCAGTGTGGATGTACTTCCCCTAGAACCTACTAAATCTGTAAAACTAAACAATAATTATCTTAGCTCAATTTTTCTCAGCTTTACTCTAAATTCAACTCCTTTATCTCTATTTTAGTCTTTAATTTCCTCCTGTTTCTTCGTTTTATACAATATATACCTTCTTTTTTCTCGATTTTACTATACACTGTTTTTCTAAACCACAAAATTTCTGGCTGTGGTTTTCCAGTCGCATTACAAGTCAGTTGAATTGTTGAGCCCTCTCGGACAACTTGATTTGGGCTCGACCAGTATTCGTTGATGTCTGGAGGTACTATCAGAGAAAAAAAAATATTATTAAAAAAATGAATTTATTTCATACTAATGTGTCATCATGTTGCCAAAGACGTTGGATATTATAAATAAATTAGACCATTATAACTGTTCAACAATTAAGTATCGTAAATTCACAGTAAAGCAACTGCAATTACTTAAATGACAATGTTTTAATATATACTGTAGTATAATAATATGAATATAAGGATGTGTCGATATAATTGTTCCTTTGATCATTTGAAGAAGTTTTCCCCAAAAAGGATGCATCCGTATGGCTGTTCGAATGCATATTCCTTCCTGGGGACATTGTCTCCAAGAAACATAAATCCTTACGGAGGTTAAGCGAGCAATTAAATTCTATTATCCAACATTTTCATCCCAAGGTAGCAGTAGGAAGCGAATATCTAATGAGGATGTTTGAAGGACTTTTCGCAAAACAAGTCAGTGTATAAAGACTTTTTCAAATATCTGCTTTGAATTTAAGTATTTTATTTCATTTTCCCCCTATTTCCCCGTGGTGTCATTTTGTATCCAAAATTAATCTTAAAATCAATAAATTAACAACTCATCAAAACATAATTTATTATTTTGATCAAGAATGTCTCCCTTATTTTAATTCCATTGAATTTGTTATCTTCAACTTATGAGTATATAAAGGAGGAAGAAAGTATATGTATGGTAAGGCACTACTTCTGTTGCACCTTCAGTCTTGCATTCGAAAAACCAAAAGTATCATAAATCTATCAAATAACATCTTTCAAGTGTTATATTTTTGAAATTTGCCTTACATATTTGCTTTAGAGATTCAAGCTCCTTTCATACATGGTATTTTGCTACATGATGTCTTGCACAAAGATGTTAGTGGAGTTAAAATCCTTTAGATGAATCTGTGACTCATATCCAAATTTGCGAGAGAAAAGAGTCACAAATGCTCATTGTGGGTCAAATATGTCAACTTCGACATGTTTATTACATCATAGTGACATACCAACTGATATGTCTGTACTAAAAGTCCATATCATTCAATCATATTTATTTATCAATACAATAGAAAATGAAAGTATATGGAGTAAATGTACATGGGACAAAATCGCAGACATTACATAGAAAACATAGAAAATTATCAATGAACAGGGCTTTTATTCCTGTTCTTCATCTTGACAGTTGATGTAGGGTCTTCAACAATGAACGAATCATTATATATAATTTGGAGGGGTATGAAGAATTTAATTAAAGATTGAGACGTCAGATTATAGCAGTTATTATATTCCTCTTATCAAAATAGTGGTTGTATCATACTAGTGCAAGTTCGAATTGTAACGTAAATAATTTTTTCTCCTTTAGTATTCTTGAAGCCTATTATATTTGCGACATTATGTACATGTAAACATACCTAACACTGTTAAATAAATACGTTTTACCAAAACTGGTTTGGTATTGAGGGTACATGTATACATTCCATGATCGCTGTATCGTACTTGGCGTATAAGGAGATTCCAGTCAGGGATAGTAGATCGATCTATATCCATCCGTATATCATCCATTAATCTTCTATCACCTTGAGATATTAAAATTTTCTTGGGATTCATCCAAGCGACCTAAAATACGACAGAATATAATTTCGATATACTACTTTTTTTACCTTTATTAATTAAATTGTAAGGTTAAAAATTACTGCGCAACCGCATAAGATAAGCATAATTATGGATTTAAACCAGAAGCTAGCTTTTTTATGAGCATGTAAAAAGTTTGCAGGGCATATATTTGATATATTAGATGGCGGAACATTTCACCAAAATAAACTGTAGCATGTGATGGTTATTCGAGCTCAAAAATTGATTTAACTTCATAATCATTGTTGAAGTCCCCGATTAAATATAATGATTACTATTATGCTATTTGCTGTTATTTCACTGATAAATTCGTACCTTCTCTTCTTCATACCAATTTAATTATAATTTCGAATTCAAAAACCTCGCAATATCATCATAAAAAAATTATTACCGTATAATTCTGTTGGTTTTCAACAGCACAAGGTAAAATTTTCATCTGGCCGGCTACAGCTGTAACGTTTAGTGGTCGAGTATCAAATCTTGGATATGTATACCCGTTACAGTTATATCCAACCATAACTACCAATACTGAAAATCAAAGAAATAGTTGCCATGAATATCAATTAAAGTTTTTTTTATGTTATGTAACATACGAATATTACCAGTGAAAATCAGGATACTTTCTCATAACCTTTTAAGCTTTTAGAGAAATAGTCGTCGCAAGAAACGAGATATGTACTAACCATATGGACAAACATCTGTAACTAAGAGAAGACAAAGTGAATGTTGTTGAAAATTAAGTCACCCAAGGCAAATATTCTTAGACTTCGCAAAGAAGAAGTTGTTATGCAAGGTCAACATGTTTTCGCGTGCAACATTGTGTATACTCTTCTTAAATATCTTAGAAGCAATTTAACTCTGAACAATAAGGCACTCGAAGACAAATTCCACTTTTCTGTTTTGACTTGTATGTTAAATATGAATGTCATTATAAACAGTTGAAGAAAATTGATTTTTTTTCTATTTTTGAAATAGTTTTAAATCAACCACATTTTTCACTGAACAGCCTGAAAATGGTTATGTTCCAAAAACATTTACATTAACAAATTTAAAAAAAAATCCATTATGATTTACATTTTGAAAATGGGAAATCTGTTAGACTGGTTTTAGAACAACATTAAAGCCTCTATATTGTTTGAAATGCTGTATTGATTTGTCCGTTAAAGCCATTTTAAACTGCAAAAGCTTATGATTAAAAACCTGAAAATTAGTAGTTAGGAATGTTGCTTTCGCAGTTTTAGCAACGATGATTTATTTTATCACGAAGGACAATGATATAAACTGCTTGAGGTTGCTATTAAAGTATTCATTAGCTATAATTCCTCTCCAATTTTTCAACCATCTGCCGATACTATTCAGTTAATGCACTTTTTAGTTCATCACAGTCCAGCTGATTGACTGAAAACAAAAGTAAATAAGGAAATATGGCGCCTATTGTTCATTTTATTTTTCTGGTTATATGACATTTGAATTTATTTAATGTCATTTTTATGGTTATAATGTAAAATATACTGATTCATAGCAATAAATATCCATATTTTGATATTTCATTACAGTATGTCAAGGTACATCATCCTATTGCCTGGCATCGAACAGACCGTAAAGTTTGGACGCTATTTCAAAAACATTCAACCGGAGTAGCAATAAATGGAACCTAACTTTAACAAACTCTGAAAACCTGTTTTATACAAACCAATAGAATTATCTGATTTTTTCATATAAATGTTTTATTTTTTTTATTTAACAGCTTTCAAAAAGGGACATGCATTAAACATGAAGACAGGACATGAGCTATGTGAGACAAGACATATTTCTGTTAAACTTGTGCTTTGCAGCTCGTTGTGGAGCTATTAGTTTCATTCTGTTTTCACGCCATCTAGAAATTATTACACTTTAAAAATATCGGTTCTGATTGGTTGCTTTAAGATTTGGCTACGGTTTATTGGCTAGAACGAGCTATGCAATTGAAAACATTGAACCAGACAGGAGAAGGTGTTACAATTATACAGTATGGTTATTGAGACCATATCAATAATTATTGCATCATGCTGACGTAATTCATGATACTGCGAAGCCCTTTTTACGAAAGGTTTTACTTTTATAACCTATTATTTTCAATAAATTACTAACGTATGATGAAGATTTCAATGTGTCCACATGACCAGTTTGTTTGGAATTTGCGGACAAAAGGGTTTGGAATTAAAAATTTGAAAAGTATAAAACGCTAGGGAACATAAAAACCTAAAGAGTCCCAATTAAAAATCCAAACCCGTCAAAGGTACGCTATTGCTTGGAATGGTAATTTTAATTTAGTGTATGCAATTATCTTATTCATGAATTGGACACATACAATAGTATTTTTTTGCCTTTTGTTATAAAACCAAATAATATTTAACAAGAGGCTGTCAGAGTGACAGCAAACCGGATTTTCCTGCAAGAAAATGATATTTTGCAAATCTGGACCCCCAAATATGATCAAGTAAAAAAAAAAGTTTAGATTCAGCATTTCAAAGAACCCCATATATTCAATTTTTGTTGAAATCAAACAGTTTAATTTTGGACCCCCAATTAGGACCAACTTGGAAACTGGGCTCAAAATCAAAAATCTAAATACATGTTCATTAATAAACAATATAAGTTTCAGTTTTTAATGGAGTTTGCTGCATAAAAAAAATATAAATATATAGCATTCAGAAAATTAGTTTATACAGAATAACAAACAAGCCTACCACAAAATTCTTCAAAACATTTACTAAAAAAAAAGAATTTTTTTTTCCAAAGTATCATTTATCATTAATACTATAATAATAATTAATATTAATCTATAAAACTTATCTGTAATTAATTTCAAAATATATAATAATTAGCAGTAAATTTCAAACTATATTTATACTGTCCTACTGAGCTTATCATCAACAACACTTAGGAAACACAAAATTTTCAAATAAATCTGTCACTCCAATTATGATTTTGTTAGTTGATAATTACCACATGTTTGTTATTTTGATAAAAGGTGGAATTTAATGCATGAATAAAACAGGATTCAATCCTTGATATACTATCTATCCATATACTTATTAATTACACCATTTCTGTTCAAAGGGAAATAACTCAAAATAAATAAATCATATAATAAGTATCACTTTTGCTACTGAAAGGTCTACAAATCAACAACGAGAACAGCTAAAATCGTGAAAATTGAACTTGACCTTCATTTAGTCACAGGAAACAACAAATCTAAATTTTAAAAGATTTCGTCAAAGCGTTTTGAACACTGTTTGGCAGCTGAATTTTAAGTATATCAACGGCATCGACCAAATGTTAGAAATATAAATGTATCCATGATTTCAAGGGAGTTTTGCATGTTTTGTTCGTTCGTTTCGTTTCTTATTTCTTACTTTCTTTGCGATTCTACTATTTTTGCGGTCTTTAAAATCAGATTCTTGCTATTTCAAAGCTTACGTGCGATCTTTTATCTGATAAGAGTTTACGTCGATAGCTTTTGCCATATAGCTCTTAACAAAGACACATTTTAGTTTAAAAAATAACTATGAAGTGTAGTTAGGAATGGCGAACTAAAAAACAATCCAAAATGACCGCTATGTAAATTAGCAAACTATCCTCTATTTTGTCATATGTACATGGTCTACGAAAAGATCAAAACAAAACGAATAAAAACGATTAAATAGTTCCTAAGTTATAAATACTTCTCAGCATTGAGAGTTTCGCTGTGATGAGACCTTCCATTAAAAGCAACAAATATAATGTTTCTTTCACTTTATCTGTCTGTCAACTTATCTTAAAACCAAGATATTTTTGGTATAAGAGCGCTTCTTTGATGAATTTTCAAGGAACCCTCCTCCGTCAAACTTTAGGGATGAGGATATATTTATAAAAGCTATTCCGAATGGTTTATTAAACTGAGCTTTCAATTTCGACAAGACTACTGGGAGGTGAATTCGATGCTGGGGAATGAAATAAAGATTGCATGATAATCGGTAGTTGATGTATTTATTTGCCTCTTCCCGCTGCTATAAAAGAGACATCAAGAACACTTGTTCGCGTGTACGTTTCAATCGATATGTGAGAAAATCTCTAACAAAACAATTATCCTGTCAAAATCGCATTCAATAACTATTTGTTAAGAATCAATTATTCTTAGAGTTAACAATAATATTTTCTCTTGTTAAAAGAATTCCTTCGAGCAATGTTGAAACACTTGCGTTCGAAAATCTTATTAGCTCAAGTAAATTTCTTAATTAGCTGAAACGTTGATTCGCTTTATGCAATAAATCACTTTTTTGATATCAACAAAGCATATAAATAACGATTTGATTGAAATAAAGAAGGAAAATATGACATAATTTTATCGTAAATATGATTTTTAATTATTCGCATATGGAATTGTACAGTTTTATTAGAGCTTTCTTACATTTTAACGAAAGGTACGAACGAACGTAATGGGAGCGTGTATTTCATTCCCACGACAACACTGAGAGTCTATTTTTAATCCGGTAAAACGGGCATTTTTTCATAAATAAATGAATCTTTGAAAATCTAAGCAGATCGCACATAAATTACGCATCTCATATCAGAAAATAAAGACAAATAGTTTACAGTACACTTACTTACGTTCGCTACGTTGCTTATCATGTTAACAACGATTACACACATTTCTGCGGGAATTGTTCAAGCCGATGATGCTTTTCTCTTAAATGTTTACACCATTATAGCGTTTTTAATTACTGATTATCTTGAAGTATGATACTCTAAATCAAACTACGAAATTCACAATTAGTTTTATAAATTAATAGGTATGCCATCATCAAATTGCCAGCATGGATTATCAAGATTTGCCAGATTATAATTAAAAAAATTACGGAAAAAAATCTGGAAGAAAGCAAAATAGATATTTTGATGAACTTTTTTTCAATTACTTAAAGATTAAAAATGAAAACAACACGTTATAATTTTCATGCGTTCGAAGTGCTTTTCTGGATTTACCTTCATCAGGAACGCTCAAAGCCGAATATTTGAAAGCCTTTAAATGTGAGCAAAAAATAATGCGACAATTGCAACCGCATCAAACAAATATGAAACGGATACTACCCCGACCACATGACAGTTAACTGGTCTTTGCCCTAGTATTCCTGATTTTATTGTCTATTTTCACCAGCAACAAGTTATATTGCAAAAAAACGGAAAACTTAGATGTTGTGGAAGGTTTAGTCGTCTCTGTCTTTGGCTTAGATGTGCTGATTATAGACCAAGGTGGAGATCCAGAATAGGTTAGGACTATGTCTGCCAAGTAGAGACACATTGGGTGCGCCCAACTCCTAACTTCGTCCTTGAGCTCTAATTATAAATCAAACACTTATAGATCATCTTGTTTTGTTCATGTACATACTCATTTTAACATCTGAATGTTTATCAACGAAAAACAATCTTGCATATACATATATATGTATGTATAATGATATTCGGAAAATGCAATGTAGCAAGGAAAGAAAATAGTGCGTCTAATATCC